TTGAGTCGGCCATCGTTTCAAACCAGAGCATGGCTAAGGTGAGCAGAGTTCAAAGCACAAGGAGCACAGAGCACATCTTCCGCTGCACTTCTCCAAATTCACTGAGGAGCTTTGCTCGCTCTCCTCCTGTAAGGCCAGCCCAGGCCGTGGTGTGCTCCAGCCTCAGCCGTCCCCACAGGCTGGCCGGCCAGGCGGGGGACTGCTCAGTAGGTTTCCCGGCCAAACCCGCGACGCTTCAAGATCTAGCTCTCTTACTCCTTTTGGTGCGATTCCTGCCAACCCATCACATCTGATTTTCCACTGTGGCTTCTTGTATTTTACTCCTGGAGATGACAAGAGGCATTAAATACCACTTAGCAACTCAGTTTTATTTGACTCAGAACTCCCCTCCGAACTCTGCAAGTGAAGGTCAGTCCTTTATTCACCAAGATGCCACCAAGACAGTCACAGGGACGAAGTTGGCAATGGATTTTAGAAAGCACTGGAGGGAGTTAATACACTCCTACGTGTGACAGAGGCAGCTTTCTTGTTTGCTAAATGAAACATCTACAGTGCTTACAATCAGAATTTTATTATCCTTAACAATTTAATATGGAGAGACTACATTAGCTGTCAGTAATATTATCAATATTACCAGTAGCACTTAAATGAAGCTGCTGCCCAGCAAGGCCAGCTCACTAATTAGCAGGTCCCAAAGGCAGCTGGTTAATGTTAAAGGCAGCAAGGTGAAGAGGCTGGCCAGAACCTCTTCTTCTCTTTGTCCAGCTGGCAAAGCTTTAGTTACTAAGTTCACACAGATTCCTGGCATTAAAATGAGTCAAGTCTCCCCTCAGGTCACGTATAGTATAGCACTTTCAGAGGCTAAAGTCTGCCTTAAGTTCATAGCTTTCAAATCTTGATACCTGATGCTAGGTTTGGAATTATAACTTGAACTTCTACAGTTACTGGGAACCTGCATGTACTACAGAACTCAACCATGCCGAAGACTCGGGACATTTTTATTCAGGTAAATCTGTAAGAGCCTCTTTTTAAAATGTTTAACTGAAATTAAAATGTTCGTTTTAAAATTTTGAGCTTAAGAGTAAAATCCACGGTGTCTTCCATGGTCTAACAGTTTATGTGGAAAGAAACTTTATTTTACTCGATAACTTCAGTAAATAATTTCCCACAAATAAAAAATTATTTTTGTGACTATCCAAAGAGTATTAGACACAACATATGCATCTGTGTTCTTAAAAATCAGTATTTTAAGTGACTGTTAATCTGTTATGATAACAATTAAGAATTTTCAAAAGTATCAGAATTCTTCCCCTGAAATAGGATAATAAATAAAACAGGCCCTTCTTAAAATGAGTATATATTTAAGAGTCCAGAACTAATGATATATGAGCCAGTTTATAACCCTTTTTTAATCTCAATTGTTCAGGAAGATGATATTTAAGGACAAAAATACTGTCTCAACAGTCAGTGTTTGCTCCCGAGTGTTACTTTAAAGCAGCATGCAAAAAAGTGTCAACAACAATCAAAATCGAAGATGACTTATTCTAGAAATGTATTTTTAAGGCTAATGAACCTCTTCTCTTTGGTCAGAATATTTAATTTTTAACATACTTCTGCTTTTCTACCTCCAGCAATTTTAAACATACATATGTATTTGATTTTAACAGATATATAGTAAAACAGGAAAAAGAAATGTGTGACAGGAAACTTACAAATTGCTAATTTTTGATTCTGCAATAATCAGTAGCGTTATTGTACATGTTTCCTTTCTGCAGTGGGAATTTAAAAGTCTATAGTGAATGCAATAAATACATCAGTGGAGAGCAAAGAGCGAGCCATTCAAAATCACGTGCAGACACATTCTCTTGACAGAAATCTGCTTCCTTCAGCATCTGCAGTTCTCACTGTGCACCATGGTGAAATGTAAGCACTCGACAACAGAAAACAATACCAACAGGCATTTCCAAGAATCTCTTAAAATAGTTTCCCCCACCTCCTTTCAACACTAACACAACACAGAATATAGTAAGTGCAGCTTTCTGACTAGGAACGCTCATTGAATCTCTAAAACGCCCTGCAGCGTCCTGTATGCTTCTGACACAAGAGCCACTGCTGGCAGGTAACCAGAAGCCCCATCAGACTCTGACACATCCTGGGGCTTGGCCATCTCAAGCTTATGTGGATGTTCCCTGTCAGGCAGTCTAAAGCAAAGCGGCCTCACAGGGAAACCAGGCAACTGTGGGTCTAGGCCAGTACTTCTCAAGGAAGTAAAAATTAAGCTTACTGAGAAACATTTAATGTAAATTGCAGACTAGGGTCAGATTCTGCTGTCCTCTGGCAGGACTAGAAGTACTGTGATGGAACAAAAATAAGAATCGGAGGCATAGTGTGAAATGAATCCTTTTGGCTGATGATATATCTGACAGTAAACTGAGGGGACTGATGTAGCTCAGCGTGCAGAGAGTATAAACTGGTACTCCCACTCTTCATCTCCCTTCCCTGCCATTCCACTACAGCCTCACGACAAGGACTTGAGTTTAAACAAAATGTGTTGTAGCCAACTCCTATGTCCTGCTATGCTTTTTTGGTGTTCTGCCTTCCTTTACTGGCTCCTATTGAGAGTCAACATTGGAAACTAAGGAATAAGGGATTGTGTAGTGCTGTACGTTGGGACCCAAATCGTGACCTACAGGATACATCAGCAGAGTAGACAAGAAGCTAGAACTTGAATAAAGGTATTAATGAGAACAGTACTGGGATGAAGTAGTATCTTCTTCCTTTTAGTTTTGGGAGACACTTTGCTGAATATATAATTTGCCACACAAAGTAAAGGAAGTCTGTTCATTCCTAGTCCTAAAGAGGATGCAGACAGTTCTGCCAAACTTACAGCTGCAAGGCACTCTTAAGTCCTGGCTCATTACTAGGGGCAAACCAAAATGCTTACAGAAACTTTAGTGTTCATGCTCAACACTGTGAAATACTGGAACATAAGCAATTTACTGAAGATAGCCTTAGCCTCTTGGGACATACAGATGCTTCCCAAGTTTCTTTGCCTTGACATGGCATGTCATGGACCACGATTCTATTGCACATGAAACTCAAATCTTTTGTCCCCTTGCCCCTTCCAGAAACACACATGAAAGCAGGCTGGTTTCCTCTCAGTTTTTCTTATGTCCCCAGTGTCCTGATGCAAAAAATGGAACTTGGACAAAGAAATGGATTGCTCTAAACATAGGATTCAGGGGCTAGCCTTCAATTCAATAAGCAAAGGATACAGAAAGTTTGCAGCTACTATTTTAGTCTCTAAATTAGAACACCAGCTCCTTTGTGAAGAATCTGAAACATCTGTGCAAATAAACATAAGCAGGACAAAACTGTCCTTCCCCCAAAATCATCTCCTCCCACAACATCCCATTTTTTGCAGCTGTAAGGACACCTTCCCTGTGTGCACACACTCTGGCTAGTCACTCTACATATGGTGAATGAAGGTCTAACTCATTCACTGAGGTAGTAGAGAGATACCACCCCAAGATGCATTACTCAAGGAAAAATACAGTATTTCAGGGAATCATACTTGCTACTCACACTGTGCACACCCAGAGCCTTCCAGATGGCAAAACTTAGCAATCCTACTCCACACCATGCATAGAGTGAGCCCCATCCTAGGGCTCGTAAGGCCAGTGACGAACCACTCTCTGGTAGTGCAGCTGTAGCAGTAATCCCCTAGAACCAAAAATAAAAGTGATCAAGACAAAGTGAACAATAATGGGGAAAAAATATGAACTACAAAAGTTAACTTTGTGATCTAGCATTTTTCCTGACTTGCCAGCTGTACCAGTGTGGCCACAGAAACTTACAGCTGCCAGCAGACCCAAAGAGCCAAGCAAGGGAGTGGATGAGCTGCTGTCACACCACAAGTGGCTTTCATGGTTCGCAGTACCACACAGGGATGACTTTTATTACCTGGAAATGCTGAAGTCAACTGTTTTGTGGGCACAAGAATCCAACACTCAGTTATCCCACCAGTCAAAATACAAAACTGAACCAAAACCAGTCACAAGCCCTTATGCACATCATTGATTTTGGTACTCTTTCTTGGGGGTATGGATGGAGGGCAACTGTTGGCCTACAGGTCTTTACCTGCACTCCCAAAACAGCAGGTTAGGACATTGCAGGAACCTGAGTAGCTTTTAGCTGGATACAGAGAGGGCATAACAGTGACTGAGACACTAATTTCAAGGGTCTGCAACTCTGAAGGAGCTCTGGAAACTGTATAGGAAAATTTTGTAAAGAGTAAACAACGCTGAACCCATCCCCACACAGAGTTCACCAAGTGGCAAGACAGAAAATGCTCTGCAGTCTCCACACTTCTCATTTTTGTCAGAAACAAGAGTAGGTGGTTTTAACCACTTGTTAAGATATTGCTGTATACAAGATGTCCTGAAAACACAAAACTTGTGTCACTTGGGAAAGCCACCTCAGGCCAAGAAGAACAGAGCTTCAGCCGTGGTGGGGCCCCAGCCTTCTCTGTTGCAGCACATAAATGCACACTGATTGCAGCTACCAAGGGCATAAGCAACACGCTGGCTGACGTCAATCAATTCGCACCGCGTGTTCACCGTTAGCCAGCCGATCTCATCTCACAATGCCCACCTTACTGTACCTATTTGGTATAGGATGGCTTCAATCTGTGTAGCCCACAAAAGCAGTAAGACAGACATAATCCTCTTGCTCATAGTGGTAAATGTCAGCAAGAGGGTTTGGGGTTTTTTTCCCCAAAGGATCACTGGTCAGTTCTTCATGGGGAAACATAGATGTCAGATGGTAACTGTTCAAGGCTGGCATCTATGGTCCTTACACCACTGAAGAGTCCTACTTACTTACTGGGTGTCTTGGAAAAAAAAACAATTATTGCTCAGAGGTAAACATAAATGAGACTGCAAGCATACAAATATATTCAAGAAAGAATTACTTCATTTATAGCCTAAAATAATGAAAAGTGAAATTAACTTGTGGAAGGATCAAAAAAATTTTCCTCCAAAACGTGCCAAAGAGCTGCACTTTTCTATTCATCACAAGAAGTGGGAAAAAAAATCTTTTGTATTCTTGTTTTAAAGAGACTTCAGATTTTTAAATTTTTTTTTAAATGGTTCTGTTTCTTCTTTGATATAATTAAAGATGTGCCATGTCTATCACTGTGGTATTTGGTCAGTGAAACAGCACCAGTAGTTTTTTTTCCTCTTGGCTTTTTATTTATTGAAATGTTAAAATGATCCTCAGACAGTCCTCAGCATTAACACTTTTCCTTAGGATTTAGCTGTAGGCACAACAGTTACCCAAGGCCAAATACAGACCTGGTGAAGGGCACAAGCAAAATTTATCTTGATCCTTATTTATTCCGATTTGGACATCCCAAAGTGGAAGCCATTAACAAAACAATGTTTTGTAAGCATACACATACATGCACACAGATACAAACAACAGACATCTCTAGGCACACTATTATACCAGGTCCTATTATTTTCTTACCACAGCTAATGAACTTTCATAACTCTTTCAGCAGAGACTGCTTTGAGTAGATTTAAAATGCTGATGATCATTGCTGAAGTTTTTCTTGCTTCTATATTCTAACCATATACAACAACATGCAGAAAAATTTCTCCCATTTGGAAGATGGGAAATGAATGGACAAAAATATCCTCTACACAGAATCTTTAAATAGGAGTCATTATCTGTGAAAATTGCTAGCAAAAAAAACCCTACCCGAATGCTATTTAAAATGCTCGACTGCCCCAGAAAAAAAGTGGTAAATGGAAACAATTGATCTGGTTTTACTGACAGCAGTCAAACAGCATTCAGGCACAGGCTGGTTCTCGGGGTATTAAGTACACAGACAAGGGTTTCTGTAAACAACACAGTTTGTAATATGATTACCAGATATACTTTTTAGAGCATCAAGATGAATTAATGACAGTAATGAAGCGCTAAAAAAAAAATTAAAGACAACAGTAGCATGGGAGAAAAAGATGTCACCAACAAAAGAACACTTTTAAGAGAACTGAGTTTTATTCACAAGCCTGTTATTCTGTGAACAGATTGTTTTATCTTCATTACTGCTCCTTACTCTTCATTACTGCGCCTGTATTTTTTTAAAAAAGCAACTCCTTAATTTAAAAAATAAGCTATTAAACAATGCTTGAGTTTTTCTAAAAACCAGGCCAGGAAAATATAGGGCAGAATTAGCTGATTTCGTTACCAAAATTTATGCTTCATATTTAATTTTTATTTTTTTTTTCTGGAGGATATAAGCAGGAAGTGGGAGAAGGAGAAATGACATTGTTTTTTTCAGACACAGGCCTCAATCCTGTAACTATCCCCTTGTGCATAACAGTGTGTCTGAAAGGAAGCAGTGCCTAAAATAAACGGTGTTCAACTGTTTTGGTTGATTGTATTCAGCACGTTCACTGTTTTGTATGACCTAACCCACTGTAAAATTAAACACCTGGATAAATGCTGGTAAAACTGGACACTTATCACAAGGAGGCTGCTGCATCTGAGCATTTAATTTTAACACACACACACACACCCCCCCCCCCCCATTTTTTAGCTGAGGGGCTCTGCAATC